TTTATTCTTATATTTTTTAAAAATTATAATAATATATTGAAAAGTACAAATTTTTATTAAAATTTATAAAATTTATAAAAATTAAAACTAAATACCAAAAATCATCTAGTAAGGCTTTTATTTTTATTTTTTTAATTTAAAGACCAAAGAAAACACCAATGACTGGCAAAAGCAACATCATAATATATTTAAATCAGGGAAAATGAAAAAGAGAGGAGAGAAAGATTTATTAAGTAATGAAATTATAATATATAAAAGATATTATAATTTAATTAATTAAAAAAAATTTTCCTCCCTTCTTGTTTACTCCATCCTCCTTGATATGAACAGAAGGGAAATATCTATACTTAACGAGGCCTAACGTCGTTAAAGAAAGGGGGGCCTTTCTAAGTTTTCCATAGTTTTGGATGAGAGTGTAACTTTCCTATATAGTTCAGGCAGGCGTTTTTGTAGTAATTGATCATTTTCAAATTTCAAAGGAACATGGGCATGCAGTTCCATCTGTCTTTTCTCATGCCCCCACAATTTTATTTTTTTGAAAATAGGCAATGATGCCCCTATAAATTAGATTCGACGTCTAAATAAATGCCTCTGAAATTAAATGTTAGAGTCCATCTGTCTTTTCCGAAGAAAAAAGAAAAGAAGATAGAAATGAATTAGTGGATACAATTGTTAGCAAATAAAATCCAAAAAATTGGAAACAAATGTCATCGTTGGATGGTTTCTAGGCCAAAATTTCTCTGAATTATTTGGGAAGGAGTTGAATAATTTAGTTGTAATTTTATTTTAATAAAAAATAATATTTATGTTTAAGTTGAATAAAATAAAAAAAATTATTATATAATAAAAAATAAAAATTTCAACATTAAGTATAATTAATTTTTATTAAAAAATATAATTAAGAAATCAACTCATTACTTTATACACTAAATTTGATCTTTAAGAAAATATATAGTTTTTTCATTTTATAGATTTTTTAGTAAAAAAGTTTTCTAATTCTAATCGCATCAGTTTTCAAAATATCACGATTGAATGACAAAAAGTTTTTAATGTTAGTTTTTATTTAATAGT